TTACCAATTGTGAATTGTGTGCTATAAACATTCTAGTGCAGATGTCTTTTTATAGAATGTCTTATTTTCTTTGGTAGATGCCAGTAATAAGATTCTGGAATCAAATGGTAGTCTACTTGTAGTCTTGAGATATCTCCATATTACTTTCCTATAGAGTTTACTATGCAGTCCCACCAGCAGTGTATGAGTGTTCCTATCTCTCTGCATCCATCCAACATTATTGTTTTAAAATTCTTTTTTAAGTCTCTTTTTGTTACTCATTTTTACTTTCTGTAGTATTTATTTAAAATTTTTACCAATGTTTTTTACTGATGCCATTGCTAAGATAATAAAAAAATAATAACAACATTATAGTATATTATGAACATTCACCAGCAATGTATTTGATATTTAGTGTAAAATTTATCTGTGTAGTAAATGTGTTCATTTTTCTTAATTCAGGAATGTCTGACCAGAGAGAAGAGTACTACTATATTGAGATTTAGCTGAATCAACGGAAGACAGTGATGAAGATCTCAACACTGATGAATATCCAGTACACCACAGAAGAGGCTAAAGAGTCAGATCAAATTGATGATCCAACAGTGTCGATATTCCAGTTCCCCCAGAAGAGCCTCAAGAGTCAGATCAAGTTGATGATCCCAACAGTGTCAATATTCCAGTTCCCTTAGAAGAGCCTCAAGAGTCAGATCAAGTTGATCGGCCTCCCAAGAGCTAGGATTACAGGCGTGAGCCACCGCGCCTGGCCTTATAATTTTATTTACTAAACTTTTAAGTAAAAGTAAAATGTGGAGAGGCTGGATCAAGATTGAACATAAGCATATGCATGGCATATCCCTTTCCCTCATCCTAAAGCCTGATAATTACAGAAAAATTATATAAAGCAGAAATCAATAAAGATACTGAATCATATTGAAAGGGTCGCTCAAAGGAATAGAAACATTGAAAAATCCCTTCAAGAAAAGAGACAGGTAGAATAAATTGAAGTAAGAATCTATAACCTAATCCTGTACTGGAGGGCACACTAGAAAATACAGAAGTGCCTCTAAGATTGCTTCAAGCCCCAAACTGGAGGATGCTCTGAGCAGAATGATGACTAACCAGGT